CCAAGCGCAAGGTTTTCGTGCATCCCCAATTTGTTTGTCTTACCACCACACCACGAAAGCAGGGCCTGGTGCAAACACCACAAGGCCTGGTAGAGAGTTTTGCTCCACATATTTTTTACCCAAAGAAACCTGACCATTAAATTGCATCACTCCCGAAATGCAGGAGAAAAAAACTCAAGAAATGTCTTCTAAATAACATCTACAAGATGAATATTACCATTTGAACACTTCTTTTAACAGATGCTGAGTGAAATTAGCTGATAACAAAAATTTCCCTAAATAGTATCAGTCATTATATCTATTTAACTACTTGTGTTTTTCTTGGCATGATACCAGCGTGATACCACTTAAATCTTCCTTCCTTTTCAATTGCCTTTATATTTACTATCTGTTGCTTACAATGTTCACCAATTTCTCTGCAAGATGCTCCAGTTGCAAGCTTGCACGTATTTCACACATAAATCGGATTAATTCGCCAGCCGCGCAAACATGTTTGATATGCACCCAAGAGTGAACAATTCAAAGGGAATGAAGGAGACAATTTGAAGCACGGAACTTATTTTTACCGCCATTTTTGCCCTGTTTAACCCTTGGTTAGCCATTTTTTGGTTCATGGCGATGCTTGATAATGATAAATCTAAGTCTTTCGAGTGTTAAACTCGCCAGGATTCCTGACAACGCTATCCTTATGCTGCCATATAGAGCTCTGGGACAGACCTGACGCAGCTAATACAGAAGTGTTTGATGGCGAAATTCTGCCCTCCGGAAATGTTCCATCATTCACACTTTACTTGTTTCGCATTTTAATCTCCCACGTTGTTGGACGTGATTGATATTTATATTTGGGGGGTGAGTGGGATGACTGTCTGTCAGCAAACTGTGAAAACTGTGGTACTGACTTTTTGTTTTGGAGGACCAGGAAGAAGTGTGTCCTGAAAAAGCCAGTAAGTCTCCTGTGGACCAAGTAATTGCTTACCTTGCCTGCTTTCAACACACGATTTGTAACCAGAGTTAGCCATTTTCTGTTTTAATCCATCGAGATTTATCATAAGACAAATTATGATGTCACAAGGCATGCAATGGGCTTATTTGTTCCATATTCTTGATTATTTGACCCAAATTTCTTGAAGTGGTCCCTTATGGCTGCTTGAACCAGATGTTTTCCATAGTTGTCATGGTTTGGTTGCTGGCAAATGGCTGTACTGTATATATGCACTATGCTTTCAATACTGGGATACTCTAAGCCGCATAGCAGTCATAGTATGGGGTAAATAACAGCATTAAGCAAATAGTCAGACCATACCATTGAAAATGTGAGGCCAACATTTCAAAATATGTTGTTGTTGATTGGAGTTTTAGGGCGCGTCGACCACTGTGGTCATATTGCGCTCATTCAAAATATGTCATTAAATATGAATAAACAACCATAAATAGATGCCTTGGCTGCAGCTGAAAAGGCAAGCAGCAAAACTGGCACGGTCATCAAAAAGTTATGTTACTTTTGGAGAAGAGCGATTGTTTTGTGGAGCATGCCCATTATTGTCCTTGACAGAGGTTAACCATGGCAATCAGAATAAGTTGGTCAAAGTGATTGAAAGTGTTTTCATTTGTGTGTTGTCAAGTTTGTCTGATGTCAGCAAGCATACACAAATGAACTGAATAAGAATGCAAGTTGAAACCAGCCAAACAATCAGCTTTATCATGTTTTGTGATACGTCCTGCTGTCAACAGATGGGTGAGTTGCGATGATGTTCAACATATGGGCTACTCTAAGTTATGTTAAGTTGGTGAAGTGCATGGTAAGTGACAATAGGAATTGTGCAGGAATCGGTCACTCACAGCTGCTGCCGTGATATCAACAGGTTAGACAGGATGAGATGAAGCAAGGCCTCTTTAGGTTAGGCATAGTTAGGTTACTTTCACGGAAATAAGCATTGGTATTTTGTAAGAAACAGTGACAAATTTTTTGCTTTCCCTGCCCCCTTCTTAATAGGAGCCAGAGGTATGTGTGTTGTGTCTGACTTGGTGATGGGCTGATGTGAAGGAGTCCAAGGTTTTTTGCTTTGTTTTTGTTTGAGTGTTTTATGCTTGTTAAATTTTCTGTTGTTATTTTGTTGTTGAATTCCTTTGCTTTGTTGTGTGCTAGAAATGTTGCGGAAGGGAAGTGCAAAGTGCAGCATCACATTATTAGTGTTACTGAATCTTCTATGCTCATTACACTGTCATGAAGTTGCTATGCTTTAATGTATTCTGTTTCACTTTAGTGGCCTAAGATGTTAAAAACAAAACGGTTTGTCAGGTTTATGATGTTACGTCCACGCCAACTTGAAATAGATGTCTTTGTTTGCTGAAGCATCAGTCACTAGCTCACAAGTTCCATCTTTTGTAAATTGAATTTTTCACTCCCGGACGGTCTTTTTGCGATGAAATTTTTCACTCCCACCCTAGTTCAAAAGCGATGCTAGCTCACTGGTGGCTGCATTACCGCGGCGTAGACGCGCTGGCGCTGCGTGACTGCCCTGTTCGCAGCGTGACCGCTACCTCGAATTATGCCGGGGCTTGCCGGTCTACCGGGCGACCCGTTACGGGATCAGGTTGCGTTCCCACATCTCTCTCTCTCTCTCTCTCTCTCTCTCTCTCTCTCTCTCTCTCTCTCTCTCTCTCTCTCTCTCTCTCTCTCTCTCTCTCCGTCCTCTCTTCTCTCTCTCTCTCCTCTTCCTCTCTCTCTCTCTCTCTCTCTCTCCTCTCTCTCTCTCCTCTCTCTCTCTCTCCTCTTCTCTCTCTCTCTCTTCTCTCTCTCTCTCTCTCTTCTCTCTCTCTCTCTCTCTCTCTCTCTCTCTATCTCTCTCTCTCTCTCTCTCTCTCTCTCTCTCTCTCTCTCTCTCTCTCTCTCTCTCTCTCTCTCTCTCTCTCTCTCTCTCTCTCTCTCTCTCTCTCTCTCTCTCTCTCTCTCTCTCTCTCTCCTCTCTCTCTCTCTCTCTCTCTCTCTCTCTCTCTCTCTCTCTCTCTCTCTCTCTCGGCCTGGGGCGCAGCGCGGACCGTGCCGGGGCCGTTGCTCATCATCGGCGTGGATTCGTGCTGGCTGCATGGTTGCGGTCCTCTCCCTTGACACATCTCAGTCAACTGCTCATTCAGTCAGCACCAGGCGGGCAATATTGTGTTTTCATAGTTGGCGATGGTGACGGTGCGGTCACTTGCTTACGCGCACGGACGGCTTACGCACCAGCCTACAGTCGGCGATTTTGGGGTGGTGCCCTCACTGGTGCTGGGGCTTTACGCATCCTGGTACCGGCTCAGTAGCATAATAGCTCGGCCAGGGCGCCGCTTTGGTGCCGCGGCCTCAGCCTGGGCGCCGCCTCCATGACGCGGCGACGTGAGCAGAGGTCCTCGTATATTTTTGTGGTAGTTTTATCGTTATTGTTAATTTCTGTAGAATGGCCCAGACGAGAGAGACGAGATTATTATTTCGGTTACTGTCCCAACCAATGATGTTGCTTTTTAATGCGAAGTTTTGACCAACTATTTCTCACGCTGTCGTCAGCTTTGCGATGTGAAAATGTTGTAACAGGATGACTACGCGCCAAACATAAGCTGGTTCTTCTCAGGATGCTCCTCCCAGCAACTGCTCCCTCCAGTGCATTGGCTTCGTCATCGCACATTATGATTCGTGGTGATGTATTGACTCATTCACTCTCTCGAGGAATTGAACATTGCCAGCTGACATCACTGGGGGTCACCTGCGGCCCACCATGTGTTCGTCAGAGCCGCTTTCGTGTCGAGCACGTCTCTTTCAGTTGTGACACGCGCATCGCTATGCGGTCCTGAATGCCACCCCTGGAAGCGCAGCCGCGGCGCACGCTGGCGCGCAGCCCAACAGGAGCCGCGCGCCAGGGTGTCTCCGCCGGACATCCTTGGTCTCATTATTCCGCCATCCAACATTGCTTATTAGTGTCATTCTTCCGTCGTCGATCGACGTTTATCTGCGCGATCGGGGCCCGGCTCGGCACGTGCGCCGCCCCAGGGACGGGTCTCGGACGGACTCGTCATTAACGGCACGTGCTCTCGCGCGCCTGGTCCGAGCCACGGTCGTGGACCGGCCTCTCCAATGGCGTTTTTTGTAGTGATGTGTTGTTTTTTTGTGTGTGTGATATGAGTCAGGTGCTTACATGGGTCGTTGGTTTGGTTAGTCCTTGTGGTTCCGTTATTCTTTGACCGTCCCAGATGAACATTCTTGACATGGGACCATCGATATCCCTGTGATCCTCGTGCGCAGACCTAGCTTCTAATGTGTCTTCACTGCTTTCTGCGAGACATTTTGATTTGTACTTAGCATATTTGATTATTTGTATTTTTTATGTTTTGATACCAATGATCTATCATCTGTCAACCATCAAGGGTGTTGGAGTATCATAATGCCCGGACTGGGCCTCCCTCCGTTGCTGGAGCCCCCTGACCAATTCGATTTTCTCGCCCGCGTTCCAGCGTTACGGAAGTATTTGAACTGGTCCTTTAACTCCGGTAATTTGAGGTAGATGGATGACCGGCGCGCCCAAGGAACATTTCCCGACAGGTCGGCGCGGCCGATGGCTGACAACGATCACCAAACAAAGACAGTACAGCTGGAACGCATTGAGATCAACACTCTGTTGGACAGACGTGGCAGGCACTTTAAATAATCATTTGGCCTTGTCACAAGCGTCTTGGGTGCTCCCTTTCACTAGGCCGAGTGGCCGATGCGTCATGATAGTCGTCACGAGGAAGCTTATAGCTGGCACGTCCTGCCCCATAAATGTACAGCCGTGTTGGCGAATATATGCTCTGATGCAGTCGTGAACCACAGGTAAGTCTGTAAAAACAAGGAAGACGGGAGCACCAGAGAACGTCGGTGTAGACCATGTGGACTGCTGTCCCCCCACTTCGAAAGCAAATGTTGGACTGGGTGTCGTATCTGGACGTATCTGGCCATAGACGGCTGAGGTTCTGTCTGGTTCCATTGACAGGTCTGGGTGTCGCCTGGGGCTCGCTGGAGTCGGAAAGCAGAATCAAAGAGCTGGGCTCTCTCCTTCTGCAGGTGAGTGGGTCTCTTGCTCTCCAGAAAACAGTGAGTTTCGGTATAGCATATACTTTCGGTCAACCGGGACAAGTCTCAGTGTCAAAGGTTCCGACGAAATATTGCGTGTTATCAGACATGTGCAGAACAGTAGTGCCTCCTGCTGAACACGGTGTCACGCCGCAGGTTGTTACACTTAACGCTGCAAGATATGTGGAAACTTATGGTTTCAGTATGGCGGCGCTTACCCAAGAAAATTATCACAAAAATAAAAAGAGGGTGCAGTTTTCAAAGATACGGGCATCGGTTGATCCATTGCATGCTATGAAGCTCCACCACCATGTCCAAGACCGCCTTTCGCAGACGCTGGAGGGGTTCATCTTCATCGTGGCATCGGACGGCAAGGTGATCTACATCTCGGAGACAGCTTCAGTGCATCTCGGCCTGTCGCAGGTCGGTACTCACAGCTTCAGCACATCTCGATCTGTCGCAGGTCGGAACTCACAGCTTCAGTGCATCTCGGCCTGTCGCAGGTCGGTACTCACAGCTTCAGCACACTCGGCCTGTCGCAGGTTCGTACTCACAGCTTCAGCACACCTCGGCCTGTCGCAGGTTCGTACTCACACAGTCACCTGCCAGCGCCCTGAGAGGAGCGCCCAGGGCGGAGATCACGACAGGATGGTGGAGGGCTCTGGGAAGCCATGGGACAGTTCTGATACGGGTCTAAGTACCTTAAATTGTTAGCTTTTTTACTAGTCAAAATGGATACGCATGCAAAAGGTTTAGATTTTGGTTTGGATTTTGAACTTTTTGGTCAAAAGGTTTAGATTTTTGAAACGATATTGGACAGCTGGATACTCTTCCATGGGTTTTGTTTTTTCAAGGGGCTACGGAATTATATATTAATTGCAGAGTGTCCAATAGCCATAATATCGAGCGCAAATAGTCGGAGGCAAAATACAGACAGGGGTGAATTTTGAGTGAGTGAATACTGGGTGATAAGTCACGCGATAGAATTGTCGTCATTTGCAAGATGATTGTCAGGGTAGAAATAACTGGATTGTAAAGTATTTTGAGGATTAATATAGACAGGAATGAGCATCGAAACAAGAACCGAGTCCAGTCGTGCTGAAGAATGACACACATAGAGGGCAAACAGTTTTCTTGAAGAATGGCGGAATATTGATGGTATGATCTTTGCCAGGAGTGTCAGTCGAAAAAAGACCGAATTTAAAGCAAATCCGTGATGTGTTATTGATTCCATGGCCATCGGCTACGTTAGGGTATGTAAGGTAAAAGGACCTGATGAAGTTTCATCGGATTGGATTTGGTAAGTTTACATCGCATTGATTTTTCTTACGTTGCATTGAATTAACTAGGACAAATCAGGTACACGCAGTTCATGCACACATCCAAACAGCTAATCGGAAGAGCTGTTCAAAATGTTGCGTCCGTCAAGTACAATAAAACCAGATGTAAGGAGAAGCCAGCTCTGACCTTTTTCCATCTGACAGACCTGGCTCTGCTGTCCCTAGACCTGCCAATGACTAAGGATGAATTAATTGTAGGTTTTCATCCAAACCGTGCGGGCTGTTAGCAAGAATCATAAAAAGTTTGGCATTTCTCCCTTTATCCTAACAGGGTCAAACTGGCAAGATATCGTCCTTTACTTCGTCATGTACCATTTTCGGTCATGAGCTGAAGGACATCTAAGCTTTCCACTAAGCGTACGTCTTCAGTTTCGTTATTATTTCCTTCAAACATCCTTTCGTCACACTTTTGTTATTAGACATTTTGATTTTCTTTAAGCCTCTTCGTTGTTGACCTTTCCTCCTTCCATATTTTTTTAAAGATTGTTTTCCATTTCGATGCACAGCTCTGTCGGTCTTCGTCAATATCTTACCACTCAGTCATTTTAATCCGTGTTTGTCGCGCTGGTACTTATTCGTCGATGTTTCGGATTTCAAGATATTTGTGACCAGTAGCCTTTCTCACAAAAGCAGTTTTTTGTGCATTTGTATTGTAGTTTGTAAATTTGTATGCGTAGTTGTAAACATGTGTTTCATAAAGCAGAAACCTACAAACAACAACTACAAATTACAAACCCACAAAACCACACACAAACATGGACAAACCTCTCGAGAATTTCTACAACCGTACCTTGATATGTTTCATAAAGACCAGCTGATTTTCCAGACGCGGTGCATTTGTAAGATTAAAAGTAGAAATTACAACCATAAATCAACAATGGCCTACCCCCTTGTAGAACAGGTGATCGTAAGCTTAAGGCAATGCCAGTAGCAAAAATGAATTGTGGACGCAAAGCTCGCAGAAGAAGGAGGCTTGCAAGAATCCCCCGGAACAAAATAAACAAGTACTCAGAGGAAGTGGAAGGACAAACAAGCTCGTAGACCACAACGCTCAGATGAAGCAACCCAGTGATGGTCTTGATGGAGTTAATTATCTCTAACTCCGCGTATGGCCCGTGCAACCAAGCGTGCAGCAAATTTATTCCTTTGCACTATTGCCCATCACTATATATGACCTTGGCAGCCGCACCCACCCGATCGAAATCCTGCGTTGCCTTGTAATCGCGCGTCGAGGGAGTGGGAGGGTACTGATAAGAAGGTGACCATTTTCCCTGAGCAGGCCTACTGGCATCCAAGTCACTGCCGGGATGAAATCGCTGTACAAATAGATTATGAAATGTTTTAATCTCGAGTGTAGTTTCTACACATGCAAGCGAAAACAGGTATGCCATCCTATCAAACTGCGGGTGTGCGACGACATGCACCTTGACGCCAAACAGGGACAGCTATCGCCGGGTGTGAACGATGCAGGAATTTCATGTCTATGAGTAGAATATAGGTATTCATTATGGTAACAGGACACTAGCATTGTGCTGGGTCAATGAGTCACTGTTTCGCTGGTTGCCAAGACAGTGCAAATATTGTTTGTTTGCTTTGTTTAAAACTGTAAGACGCACGGTCAATACAATGACAAATGTACTTGATTGCTGATATTGGGGAACCTAACGTTCTGTTCCGTGACACTTCCGATGCATTTCTTTTGTTTTTGTTTACAAACCGTGGTATTTATGATGATCCATAGCATTATTTGTTTTTTTTCTGTGCTCGTCGGGTATTGGCAATGTCAGCTGAGGGGGGGGGGGGGGGGTGTGAAACACTGGCGGGGAGGGGAGGGGGGCATCATTGGATTTCCTACTGGTGGAATCCCGTGCGACTCAGCACAGGGCAATGACGTCACTGGTGCCGTGTGTCATTGCCCCCCCCCCCCCCCGCTGCTGTCTCCATCGCCGTGGCGTAGCGGAAACGTAGGGTAGATGCAGCATTCAAAGCGATTGAAGGCAAGGCAATTAACAGCCCTTCAAGCTTTGATTAAAAGTATCAAGCAAAGTCGTACTGGTTCGGCTAGTGTTTCTATTATCATGCAAGCACGGGCGTCACCTTTTCTAAGTGATTGGGGATAAGCCAAGGACCCAGGTGAAATGCATATTTTGTGATGGGGTGAGCCATTTTCCGCCCTCCTGGTTGTTGTTGGCACGGAATAGTCCTTTATTTTAGTAGAGCGGTCATCAACCGCAGGCCATGTCTGAAGAAGGTCCCTGTGATATTTATATTTTCCTGAGATTTTGTAGCACTAGATTCAAAAGATTTGTGAAGGGTGGCGGTAACCAAATATGGTAGACGGGTGTCAAACGAGGGCCCTCACAAACTCACAAAGAAAACAAACCGACTCCCGCTTACAAGATCGTAGTCTTCAAACCCTGCTGTCGCTGCTGTTTGATCGTTTTGGAGGAGCACAGTCAAGGGGCTTTGCATTCTGCCCACAGGTCTTCATATTTACCACAGCGCTCTTAAAAAAAAAAAATTGGCGTGAGGCGTTCTCGCCGAGGTATGCTCCCAACCTCTTAAGAAAATCTTGATTGCGCCACTGCTGTTGGTACGAACTAATGGCAAGTGGGCGCCGAGGCCAACTAAGCACAGATGAAAAAGAGCCATTTTGTCTTATCATGGGGCCACAGTGCCTGACAGGGGATCCTGTGTCAGCAAGGGAATCCGAGCCGGCAGCAGGCCTGTTTGCTAGAAAGGGACAGTGACGGGACCTGGAATGTCAGCGGGCGTCTTGCATTGTTCGGGCCCCGGACAAAAAAGGTGATAGGAAATAGGGCAATAATAGGGCCCGCACTGATTGACACAATGGAATGGTTATGTGTCGGACAGTGGGCCCAATAACCAACAAACGACCTTTCTCCGTTTTGCCCAGGGGCCTGCTCTTGTTAAAAGTGATCTCTGTGTCATTTAGTAGATCCCCTGTACCTGCAAGAAATTATTGTGTGTCACTGAAAGCCTCCGAGTCGCACTAATTGTTCCCGCCAGAGGACAGCCGGCGTCATAAAGGAGACCAATGTTTCCACAGAGGGCCTCTGAATCGATCATGAGGCCCGGTGCCCGTGTCACCAAAATGTCGCACCATAAATATTCTGTGGCCCCCAGTGTTTCGCCGACGACGCCGTCTGAACGAAACAAGTGTGTGGTCTCATTGTCCATTCCATGGCCCCTTCATGAACACGCCCGTCGGGACAAGTGGATAAAAACAGAAACGAAAGAAGGAAGCTTTTGGGCGCGCTCAAACCTTGGGAACTTTCATCAGGGGCCTTCCATAAAGCCCTGTGTCATTCCTGGTCCACCAGGATTCTGGGTGCGACCCTGGGCACGTGCACATGGGTGATACAGAAACCGGCGCTGGAAGGAGCGGGGACAGTGAGAAAGGCGAGCCCGACTGCGTGAGCCTGACCGCGTGCATCGGCAGCAACGTCTCGCCCGGTATGGGCGATATAATTTAGGTTAGATGTGCCGAATTTAACCTAACTAATCGTTTGATAACGCAACGTATTTTTAGGGACGGAAGGAAGAAAGGGTGGCTTTTCCCAGCACATTTTGCATGCAATGCAGCTGTAACCAACGGAAACGCAAATATCCAGATCGTAATATGCATCTTGCGGGGCTGCGCGCTGCTCTCGCTGTGTCAAGACTCCAGTGAAGTCACGTCAACGTTGGGCGTAATAGGTGCTAAAAAGCCGGTCAGGCGTACTTCTTATAAGTCCTTGGCAAGGCCGGTGATTGGCGGCAACAAATTACACACGGCGCAGAGTTTTACATCTACGATTCTACAGCCCGCGTTAGTTTTGTGAAACGGTTGTATGCTGTAGTTTGTAAATTCTAAATTACAACTTACAAACACAAGCTATTTGTAACAATTGTTTGTGAGAAAGGCTACAGATTGTCTTTGGCAGAGAAGCAATGTGGGCCGATCTGTGAAACAACTGCTTGCTGGACCTTATGTCAGACAATCATTACAAAAAGACAGATCACAAATGCCTCGCTTCGGAGAAAATGTGTACAAAGATGTGTACAATCCTCACGATATGT